GTAAAAACTTTTAACCACTGATAAATCCAGTGACCTGTAGTCTTTTAAAAATGTTTATAGTTTATTTGAGTTTAATAAGTGTTTATTAAAAGGGTAAATAACAAATAATGTTTTGATGTTAACTTTATAACGACCTGGAGCCTATACTACGAAGCGAGTTCAACATACCCAGGGCTGTGTTTCCGTTATCTGGATTCACTCATTCTAACATTTGCTATAAAGATAATCAGTCACCCAAAGCTGGGTATCAGCTTGCTAAATTAATCTACAGTTTTCCTTGTTTGTTCACATCAAAGGGGTTCTGTTGACCAATCTAGTAGGGACGTTTCACGGATCATGAGGCTTTTCTTTCGCAGAAAATGATCCCAATGAGTGCCCATAAAATATGATCTGCAAACAAATCCACTCAGTTTGTGATCAAATAGGAGTATAGCAGAGCTCTTATACATTCACTTTAAGCAACTATAAAACACATCCAGACCCATAGAGTGCACATGCCTTATCTTAGTCCATAGCACTATCTTAGCTTATTTGTTAGATCAAGTTAACTCGTGGAAGTAATTTGTTTGCACAAAGACTGACCTTGGAAATGTCATGTTGTTTTTTCACATCACATGGAAACCCAGATTAAAAGAAACCTTTTTCTTTTCTCTTTAGGACCCAAATGAAGATACAGAGTGGAATGATATTCTGAGAAAGAAAGGAATTCTTCCTCCCAAGGAGACACCTAAGGAGGATGAAGAGGAGGAGCTGGCCCTCCAACAGCAGTCTGTTGGTAAGCGAGATCAGCTAAAACTGCAAAAGGCAAATTTTTACCCAACCTAACATATTTTGCAAATACCAGTTAAATGCACATGAAATATTCAGATGTATTATTTGATATGTTAATGGGATTTTTTTCTCTGATCAGTTAAAACATATGAGGACATGACGTTGGAAGAGCTAGAGGAAAATGAAGATGAGTTCAGTGAGGAAGATGAAGCAGCCATTGAGATGTATAGGTAAACAATACAACAACTGGAGCACAACTCAAGTAGAGTGGAACAAGAATAAATAATTTCAGCTTTATGCTGGTGGTTAGTTGCCTGTTTGTTTACACCTTCTGCTTGCACCCATTAGACCTCTTGATCTGTTATTTTTTTGGTGAGGTACTGTTAAATTATCTTGGGAAAAGCTGATTTTAACTAGAATGTGGTAGTTAAAAGTATACTTAGTATTTTCTGTTGGTCATGAAAAAGAAAACATTTTTGCTAGAGAAGAAAATCTCTGTCTTAAACTTTTATTGTGGATTGATAGTCATGTGAGTTTGTTGGGGTACTGATGTAAGCTGCGTGTCCTTGCAGACAGAAGCGTCTTGCAGAATGGAAAGCAACCCAGATGAAGAATGTGTTCGGTGAGGTGGCAGAAATCTCTGGACAGGACTATGTCAAAGAGGTCAACAAGGCTGGAGATGGCATCTGGGTGGTGCTGCACCTCTACAAGCAGGGGTAGGTCATCCAGTAAGCATGAATGAGGAAAATATTGAGTGAAGTTTTTCATTTCGTGTTTATAAGGGTATATTTACCATTAATCTCAGTTATTTTACATGCTTTTTCTTTGAATAGACTTAGCATTTCCAGGTTGCTGTTATCATTAAAATGTTTTAATTGAACAGTCAGATTATGTTTGTTCAGTTTTATATATTGCAGCAATTAAAATGCTATTGAACAAAATCTCAGACAAATCTACTCTCAAAGTTAGAGAGAATTTATTTTTGGTGATGTGAAAAGCTGTTTTAAGTCCAGAACACTTCATGGTTGGAGGTGATCCTTGTATTTTGAGCAGGTAAACTGCAAACCGTTGCTGTTTAAAATACAATGTCTTGTAATTCTTAAAATTAAATTCTTTGATTTGTTAAATTACCTCAAATTTATTTGATAATGTGTTATTTCCATTCTTTATATGCTTCTGCTTAGATTTTTTTTTTCTTTTTTTCATGCACTTGGTTGCTGTTTGAATATCTGTTTTTGTGTTTTGTAGTTTGGATAAAATAAGAAGGGATCAGTTAGCCAATGGCAATCTGGAGATTTTGTAATTAACTAACTGGCCAAATAATTAATGCCATTGGGCCATCATTGTGGCTCACGTCCCCAGTACTGTGCCTAAATGTGATTCGTATTGGTATAACCATTTAGTACTGCTGATCTGATGCTGTCTATTTCATATTCCACACACATTCACTTGGGGCAGGAAACAATTACTGACATTAACATTAACTGACATTGACATTAAAAATGAGCAACTGTTGTCACAAAGTTTACCACGAACAGGTCAGTCTGATGTTTTCTCTCCATTCATCTCCCTTACCAGCATCCCTCTGTGCACCCTCATCAACCAGCACCTGAGCACATTAGCCAGGAAGTTCCCTCAGACCAAGTTCCTCAAGTCCATCTCCACCACCTGCATCCCCAACTACCCCGACCGCAACCTGCCCACCATCTTTGTTTACTTTGAGGGCGAGATGAAGGCCCAGTTCATCGGTCCTCTGGTCTTTGGGGGCATGAACCTGAAAGTTGAAGGTAAGAGGCGACTTGCTGAAAAAAAACGAACATTTTTTAAGCACAAAACTGACTGACTGTAGGCCTGACAGACCTATCTCTGAGTGGATACAATGATCGTTTTGTGTTATTTTAAACTGGAAAATATCAGGAAGTAGGTACACAGGTGTTGGCATTTAATCTGAAATTTGTTTTGTCATGTTTTCATTTTTCAGCAGTTGCACTTTTAGTCAGGCAGTTTGGTTTTAATGATAGGTACTGTTAGAATTCTATTAAGTCACTAAAGCTCGTTTGAGAGTTATGAATTTATTTTCAGTACATCTCAGTGTATTGCATGTAACTTTGGACGCTGCAGTTTGTCAATCTGTTGAGCGATATTGCATCGGCTATACCTCATGTTATGCGATTGAAGTGTCTATAATTCATGTTGTGTGTCCCAATCAGAGCTGGAGTGGAGGTTATCAGAAACTGGAGCCGTGAAGACAGACCTGGAGGAAAACCCCAAGAAACAAATCGAAGACAAGTTAATGTCATCGATAAGAAGTTCACTTCATACACGAAAAGACAGTGACTCAGAGGATGAGGATTAAAAAAAAAGTAAACACCCGTAACTTCAACCACAAAAGCTGTGTGACAGCTACATGGAAAACACTGCGAAGACCTTAAAACCGAGCAGAGGGGGCGGCTTCTCCTTTGTCAGCATGTGCGTTGTGTGTTGTAACCATGTAGGTGGCGCTCTTATACTGGATCAGTCCTGTATTTGGACAGGCCACTGGGCTGCTGGAAATGTCAAACCTGCATTATGATCATCCTACAGTACATTTCAGCAGGGGAAACAACAACTGTTTTGTAATTTGAATAAACATTGAACTGTATCAACTACGTCTTCACAAAAGCATCACAGACGAGTTTTAACATTTTTTAATACCGTTTCATGATAATTATGTCACAAAATGTACATGTACATTTAATTCTGGTAAATTAAATGTGAGTTCACCTCTTTGCCACAGTGATCAGTGACAGTTTTGTGTTGTTTTGTTTTAGATACTCATGTCTTGTGTAACAATCTGCCAAATTTGCTTGGTGACAGTTCCCGTCCAATGACACCAATTATTTATTTATTTTTTTGCATTTGCAAGCAACAAGACACACGGCAGCTTTAGCAACACACTTCAGTTTTTTTCCAGCTATACAATCAAATTGTTTCTGTTAACAAAAAAGTTACAGATGCTGTTGCGTGGTCCATCAGTTGATTTTGAGTGTGATGTCTGCAGGTGGATCTGCCAGCTGCTCTTCTTCTGATAGGTGTGTGTTTGTTTGTTTCCTTTTACAACATCCCCTCTGGCAGACCTCGAATCTTCTGTTTAATTAGCAGGAGATGAAGAGAAAGAGTCAGTCACTAGATTGAACCTGAGTAGTAATGCAATTAAAAGTGATACATGCTGGCTAATTCTTAATCACTGGTTCACTACTTCTTCACTACCTGAAAAGGTTAAGTCTTTATAGGCAGAAGAGAAATGAGTGGAAAGTATGGGGGGTGTGTGTGTTTTCGAGAATGTCTGCTGTATGTGCAGAGAAGAGATGAAAATGTTTCTGCTGTTTTTAGTCTTGATAATGGAAAAAATGCACATTTTCACTTTAGCGCCATAGTTTTAGCATTTATTATATCTCTGAAGTGTATGGAGTCAATTTTAGAGGTGCTAAAGGACAGTTTGGGCAACTTTTTCATGTGTGCTGTGCCAAAAACATTTATTTTCCTAAATTTTAATCTAGTTTCTTAACTGTATTGTTTTGCCTACTTAGACATTTTTTAGTGAGATGAAATGAATTATGGGAGCAATAAACAGTTCCTGCTTGAGCAGCTCAAAACCCCTTCAGCTTGCAAACACTGATTAACGTGAATGGCTCACCAGCCAAAAACAGTTTACTACCTCCAATTGTTAAGTAGGAAGCTTTAAAAGTCCCTAAGCTTGAGAGATGACCTCAATTGTCTGCAGTTTTTCTATCCTCTTCATTCATAATCCTGCTCTGAAATCTTCAAGTAAAAAAATCAGTTAAAAGCATTCAGATCTGTGTCCTCACCAAAAGTACCACCTTCTTCTTTCTCCTCTGGGAAAGCTTTGGTGAAAGTCGCATGAGAGGGTGAACTGAATGAGACTGGAGGAAGAAAGAGAGAGAGCTTCATGAGGATCTGCTGAGTAGGCCAAAAGACCAGAATTTCGCTCCAGATTTCAGTATTTAAAGTCGCATTTGCCACCTGCTGTCATGCTGTATCAGCTCTGCGAGCGAGCCGACAGCATCCAAATGGCCAGCTCTGAAACTGAAACTTACTTAGGTTTGTTTGCCGTTTTTGGGGTGAAAAAAAGAATCTTTAGATTCGTTCACTTCAACAGGTTTTGAATAAAAATTCATAATCAACCTGAAAGCCTCAAAGCAGATGTTTTGTGTTCTCCTTTTCCACCCATGCTGCCAATTGAAATGACCAAAAGCAGTTTAAGCACTGCATTAAATTAAAGCAATAACTCTCGAAAATGACAAATAAATGGAAACATCAGACACTAAGTTTGATTGGTTTACTCATTTGCTCACCTCTTTTTGTACAGCTCCAACAGAGTTGCGTGCTTTGGAGTAATGAAACAGGAACTGGGGGGGAGGAGCAGAATCAGTGAGCTGGTGCTGAACAAACAGCAGAAATGATGGAAAAGTGTAAAGACAACTAGGGAAGAAAACCTACTCTTTTGAAGACATTCTGAACCTGCTCCTGTGGGGGAAGGAAAACAATTAGGCATTAATAACAGAATTAAAGTTCTCACACTCTATCCTGCCTCCATTGACTCTTGAATACAGTAAACAGGCAAAACAGCAACAATTCAGCAAAACGTAAGAGAGCACACAATGATTCCAGCTCTGTTACTTCCTTTGGGTATTGTGGTATCATGTCATGTTGTCTTCCTGTTGACTCGGTGGCTCACCTGCCCACTCCATAACTTCAAAAAGAGATAAACTTGGGTAGCAACCCAGACACAGTCATGTTTATCCTGCTAACCAGCTTTTAGACGGTTAGCAGGATAACCGTCTAAAACTGTCTTTTTTTAGACGCACTTTTTTTTTGTTTCATCATTTCTCCTCTTTGTACTTGTGCCTCTGCTGTGATGTAATGTTTTTTATTTAAAGGACGTGCATTTGACACAGCTTGCTGAAGAGAATTGAAATTTGACATGTGACCATCTATTGAACTGGACCTTTATTTTTTAAGGATTAGTTTGTCAGCTGTGGTTTGAAGGTATGGTTTTTCACAAGTCAAGCATTAAAAGCAGTTTTTAAAGTCATATAGTTTGTGATCATATGTCGAAAACCCCTTTAAAGTGTTAGCATGAGGCCTATAGCATAGAATAGAATAGAATAGAATAGAATAGAAACCTTTAAAGTAGCTTTAAAATGTTTGCCTACCTCATTCTGGTCTCTCCGCAAGACACCACTCAAATCATCACTTCTGATCCCTCGCACCTGCAGACAAACAGTACACTTATTTACAGCTTGAAAGCTGGCAGTGAATGCAACATAATACCTTTGACCAGTGATTTTTCTATTCTTACTTCTTATTTTCCCATAAAACACAACATCAACACTGTTTGGAAGTAAAATAGAACATTTGTACTCAAACTTCTAAGTGTCTGTATATTTCTTGTCACAGAGTTGCTCAAAGCACCGAATGTGTGGCTTGAGTGCAGATGACACTGTTCATCAAACTGGCAATAAGTAGTGCTAATTACACAAGAAATGTAGACCAGAATGAGTGGATCATCCACTAAGTTAGGAGGAAAATAACAACAGCAAAAACAAAAATTGTAGAGACTTTGAAAAATGCCTCAGCGATGGAGGGATGATTGTAAATGAAGAGTCTCACTACCTTTTGTAACACTATGCCGTCTTCCCACTGATCAAGAGGACTGGCATCTGGATAAAGATACACATAATGTTAATACTTATCGATGTTTCTTATAGTAGGGCAGCATAATTCAATAAATGTAATATTGTAATTGGACTGATACCACGACGTCATTCATATGTAGTCCAAAATAATAATTTGGCAGTCCTTTATCATCATTTATTGTATTTTTAGGTGTTCAAATTTCATATTATTATTAAGCCTCTAATATCAGGAGGCTGCTGGTGTATGTTTGATGCAATACTACATATGACTGTGAGGCTCGGGCTGCTCATGAGTGACTGTTATCGAACGACATGCTGAAAACGTTCAAGCTTTCCTCAATAAGCATCTTTAAGCTGTCAAAGAAACATTTCAGAATAATAACATACAGGTTGGAGATAGTGTTATGAATTTCAGAGATCTCATTAAAAAACCTATTTGGACCGACATCCACTGGTTCTGTGTCATTTCATTTACAATTTTCTCCATGTTAACATGTTGCTGTCTGCATAAATGTGCTTGCTGTCACTGTCACTGTGCGTTTCAGAGTTAAAACAGAGCGCAACATTTTAATATGAGGTCAGGTAAATGCTTTCCATCCAGGTATCACACTCCTTCATTTAGAAGGGAAATTTATTTGATAAATCATTTTAATAGGGGATTGGTACTTGTAATAGAGTACATTTTACGTTGATATAATTCTACTGGTACTAAATTTTAATAATAAATGCATTTTTTTTTCTCATACAATGAGTCATTTATAAAAGATTTCCCCAGTCTGAGCAGAGCACTCAGACTGGAGTAAGACTGTACATATTGTACCAGTTTTTGCACTTGCACACATTATGACTTTTTTAAAAAAGTGGGATAACCTTGAGCTAACATCACCTATAGGGGCATTTATGAAGAATTATTATTAATCAGAATCATACATTATGCCTATCACATCTTGGTGTATCACCAGTCACCATTCATTACATCACAATCCATTCACTACATACCAATTTTATACTTTTGTTTAAAATATCCAGTGAAGAAGTCTTATTAATTAAAAAGACTGCGCAAGATACTGCATCTTTGAGTACAAAGCACATCAACCTATATTTATTAGCTCATTATGGATCTATACAGCACTGATAAATCATTCAGTGACAATGAATGATTGAGTTAGAACTTATTAACCATTTCAATGTTGGCTACGTTGTGTTACATTGTGGTGTTAGTCCCTCTTTAATTGCCTCTGAATCCACCTATGCATTGATTTTTTTTTTTTAACATATACTGAGAGTTTAAGTGCAAGCTGAAATAGTCCTACAACTATGACTCAGATATTCCTTATTTCCTGAAACCAGTGATGAAGCCTATTTGTTATATAGTGAGCTGGAATTTTCCACTTCTTGCATCAGGATTAGTATACCATAAATAATTATTTTAAAAAGTTACACTAAATGTACGACTGGCTTCATAACTTACAGGCGCATTCATAAAGATATAAAACCTTAAAAAATGCACTCAAAATTACACTTTGCTTATAAGCGATCACCACTGAAAACAACTTTTAGAGCATGATTAATTTTAGCTGCCAAAAACAACTCATGCACCTTGACGATGGTGCTGGTTTACATGTATCTGACTCAGTATCATGTTTCACCCACCTGTTGTGCTCCAACATCCAAAGCAAATGAATAAACACAGCAGAAAAAGTTGTTGCACAGCTGACAGAGTCATATCTCCACTTTCTTCTTCTTCTTTTTTCTCTCTGTGTTTGAGGAAGGTCTGCTTGACGTGGCTCTGCTCTCCGGTCTCGTCTCCTAACAGCTGTGAGTGTTCTGAATGCATTGCCCTCTGCCCGCAGCACTTTAAAAGCACGCAACTTTGCTGGCTGACATGCATCTCCTCAGGTGGCCAATCACAAACACACCAATCTGAGCATCAGCAAACCCGCTTGCGCAATCTCCAACGCACCTTGCACTCCCTCCATCTCTCTCTCCCTCTCTCTCTCTCGCTCCACTCACAGGGCGTAGAGTTGGAAAAATACAGAGCACTTGGAATGTTGAGCTCTGGGAGTATTGGGCTGTTTTGCTGCGTGGACTGACGTCAAGTTGATAACAAAGATATGACTGGTCTCCTTCAGGAAAAGGAAAGTGGATGGTGAATCTGATTAAGAAAAACAGCCAATAAACTGCATTAAATGTTAAAAAGATTACCAGCATTTAATGTGAACTCCTGCCGGGAAATCGTTATTAACGAATGATAACTGTATGAGGTACTCACATATTGCCTAATTAAGATACAGAAACAAATGGACACTCTCAGGTGATTCCAAAGATCTGCAGCTATAAATGAATATGAAGATTCATGCTCTCTTGTTCTGGTCTTGATGTAAATGTTACTGGGATGCGATTGGACGGTGATTAATTTTTGTATGAGGAGATTTGTATGAGCTTGAGTAATATGGTATGTTTGCTTTAGTCAAAAAGTTCTGCTTTAAAACAACCTAAAACAGCATGTTGTTGTTTCTGCTGGGTTATCACATGCTGTAGTACGTTCTTACAGGACACATTATTTCTAAATGACTTGTGTTAAATTCTGGCAACCCTGGACTTGCAATATTCCTGTCACTTCAAAGATAATCTGGAAATGTCAGGCAATGAGTCTCTGCTTCGGGAAAACCAAGAATTGAGCTTTAACTCGTTTCAAACCCCTTTAGAAGCCTCAGCAGCTTCTAAAAGTTTCTGAACACAAGAGTTTCATCAACTAGGGAAGTCTAATTTTTCAGCTAAATCTTATTCTGAGAAAGTAAGACTGGCCTGGCATCTGTTAGACTGAAAACCCTATGAGAAGCTACAGGGCAAGTTAAAGCTTGCTAAAGCTTCCTGAAGTAAGCATTCATAGATAGACCTGAAGCCTGCATACGTTGTTGTTTTATTTAACAGATTAAGCAGCACACCTTGTGTCAGGTGGTGCTGTGACGTGGACACTGTATGTTATTCTTTCAGGGATTAACTGTTCTGATTGAGTAGACTGGAGGCAGAGCACCGCACTCATATTTCCCCTGACACTGACACCAGATTTTGTACCAAAACCTACTAATAAAGGTGAATCTGCATTGTTACACCCTGGAAACACTTAATTTTTTTCTTATTCATTGTTTTGGTTTTCCTATTTGTTTTTCCAGCGATCAACTCACAGGTGATTAACACCTAATTCTGAACCTCTGCTGTGTTTTTTAACCTCTTTTTATTCATTGTTTTTTTATTCATCTGTCCCACAAGAAGCAGATAATCTGTTATCTGTGATAGACAGACTTTCGTTGTAGACAGGCAGAGAGGAATATATCAAACCAATAAATTACACAAAGGTTACAGACAAAAATGATCTAATATTTTTTGATAATCTATGATTATCTCTCACCCCAACCGGTCGCAGCAGATGGCCCCGCCCCGTCCTCAGCCTGGTTCTGCTGGAGGTTTCTTCCTGTTAAAAGGGAGTTTTTTCTTCCCACTGTCACCAAAGTGCTTGCTCATACGGGGTCATATGATTGTTGGGTTTTTCTCTGTATGTATTATTGTAGGGTCTACCTTACAATATAAAGCCCTTTGAGGTGACTGTTGCTGTAAATTGGCACTGTATAAATAAAACTGAATTGTTTTTAATACCTTTTGCTTAAAAGTCTTCATAAGAAATCTGCATAAGAAAGACGGACACTTTTCAATGATACAAATACTAATTTCGTGCATTCATATTTTGCTGTTTTGCAATATGTTTTTATCTTTCTGTAGCTTTGCTTTTATTCTGTTTTGCATGACTGTGGGTACCAGTGCATTTACATAAACCCTGACTGAAAAGGTTAAACCTTAAACATAATTTAAGTGATTATCAAATGAAAAGTCTACTCAACCTGCTGATTGAGCCTCTTTGTCATGCAACAAAGGGAAGGGGGGAAAAGCAATAAACTCAAACATTGTTTACTCTTGAATCTTTCAAGTGTGCGTATATGAAGATCTGGTAATCAGGGGTCATCTTGTGTGATTGCCTTTACAAAAACAAAGGAAATGGGAATGACTGAATCACAGAGAAACAGTTGATTTGTTTCTCATTTTGAAAAATAGACATGCTCCATTCCACGGCACTTACGCAAAAACCAAATGCTTGATTTAAAACAGCAATGACGGATCTGATGAGAAATAAATGGTTATTTTTTCATTTGTACTTTCAGTTTAGGTAACACGTATGTACATACCAGTTTTACCTTTGCTATTCAAAGGAAACACAAAAAACTATGATACCAAGCTAATGAAGTTTTTGAGTAGCAAACAGTGATATAGCAATAAGAAAATTTGCAAAAATGATGACTTATGTAACTTTAACATTGCCTTTTACTACTTTTAAAATAAAATAAGGATACTGGGGTTTGACACGGTGACCGCCAAGGTGATTGCTCTCTGGTTCGGTACAGCTTTTATCTGTCACACACATCTTTGTGCTAACAGACAGGTGTTTCATTAAGTCTCGCTGAGGTGGCCATACTTTTCACCCTGTCAGAAAATAATGATCATCACATTTTTCAGTAATCTACGTTTGTGGGCTACAGTCACAAGATAGTTCTTATTTTCTGTTTGGGGTTGGGTGGGTAGTGTTTTTCCCTAAATGGTAAATGGACTGGTTCTTATATAGTGCTTTTCTACTCTGTCTGAGCACTCAAAGCGCTTTATACAACTAATTCATTCACCCAATCACATCCATTCACTTCTAAGCTTAATTGCTAAGTATCTAACATTCATACACATCCACACTCTGATGGATGCATCGGAGAGCAACATGGGGTTAGGATCTTGCCCAAGGATATTTGGCATGCAGACTGGAGCAGCCTGGGATCGAACCACCGGTTGATCTGCTCTGCCACCTGAGCTACAGCCACCCCAAATGAGCAGTAGAGACTGATATATTAGATAAATCATATGTGTTAAAGCAGAGCTGTAGCTATAATGTAGCAGCTTAGGATGCAAAACTATATTTTTCAGTTTATGGTCTCCTGTGCTTCCAGTTCTGATCCTTTCTCTTGTGCTTGTGCTCCATGGCTGGTCTATGGCTGCCCATCTGCCACACCTATCTGGCACACCTGGCTCCAATCACAGTATCACCAATCCTCCACCCTCTCTCAATGGCATCCCCTCTTACCAGTTGCTATAGAAACAGCCTCCTCATTTGTTGTTTTAAGTTTTCTGTAATGAATTCCCTCGTGATCTGTGGCACTCCAACGTTGACTCTGTTCTGCATCTGCCAGTCAGATGCTCTCTTTGTTCAGTCTGCCATAATCTCTTTTTTTCTATATAGTTGTGGCCAGGTTCTGACATTACTGGAGGTTTTTTTTTTATGTTAAGAAATATTGATTTTTGTCACATAATCTTATCGTCTCCATGTGCAGGCATGATTGCCGCCTAGAAATAGACCACGAGAAGGTTTGGGTTTTCTTATTATATGGTCCTGGGCATCTAATTGCATGATGCAGACAAATAGGAGGCATGTATTTTAATCATTCTGAAAATAAAGTTCAAAATGTTAACCTACAACAGGTGTGTGGAAGACAGGACTGTATATACACTTAATAATTACACAGCAAGACACGGAAAGGAGAAGAACTTGGCTGGAAGTAAATTACATTTAAAAAATGGCAGAAAAGTGAGCACAAGAGGGCAAGAAGGATGTGCTGAAACAAGGCAGAAAGGGCACTAGAAGCGCAGGAGAGGATAATTAGTATAAAATTGATGTAGGAGCTAAACTCAAAAGGACAAAAAAATGATATCATACCAGAATAACAGAGGAACAGAAACAGAAACAGGAATGTAACAAACATGAAAATTCAAACTTCAAGCATTAGAAATGTCATTGAAATGTGTCAGTGCAGGAAAAGCAGACAGTGTGAAATGGTTCTACTGGTTCTTCTAGAAAAATATTCACTGAAGTCCCAAATATGCAGCTACTTAACTGTCTTCATCACTGGTTGTGTGGTATACACAGGCCTTGTCCACCACAGGACATCTTCACTTCAAACCCTCAGCTACTGGATTCTTCTGTCTGTCCAGAAACCCTTTAAACTCAGTGCTTGTGGCCATATTGATTAAAGAAACTCGATGAGTTTGGTATCATGTTTCTATTTATCTGTTGCCAGTTTTATTTAGAATAGATTGTTTCCCAAAAAAAAAATAAAAAATCAGTTTCCATGTTACAGGGGGTTGAGTTGTTTTTCCAAATGTGGACATGCTTGTCAGCGACACCGGACCCATTAAAATTAATGAATTCACGTTGCAGCATGAGGTCACAAATACGGATTGCTTCTTCCAGGAAGTCAAAATTAAAAATTTCACAGGATCTCTAAAGCTGTATCACTGCTTTCTTGTAAACAAATGAAACTCCAGTTCACCGTGATTGTTGCGCATTATTTGTATACTTGAAGCCTCAAAAGCATGTTTTTCCTCATAAACTATTCGATTATGTGAGATTATTGAAACTATTCTGTTTCTTCCACCCATCCCTCCCCAGCAGCCTGCTGTCACTCTGTGTTCAGCCTTTGTTGTAACTGATCATCGGTGGAATAAGGTGAAACCAATTCAAGAATATGAATCTCACTGAATATGTTCTTATGTGTGAATCTTACAGTAAAGAGGAGGCCTCCAGAGTGCTGCTAGCTGCTACCAAGAACTTGACAGTGTAATTCTGACAGCCACTATTTGCAAGATTAGAATATTTGAAACCTGGATCCAATGAATCAGGAGACATTATAGCTCATCATTTTCTTTCCATCTTTCAAACCTTTTATTGTTATCTTCACTACCCTG